ACAAATATATATATATATATATATATATATATATAGACACACACACAAACATTGCTAGAGTGAGCATTCATAGCTGATCTCTGCGACATTTAGCCAAAACAAAGCTTATTCAAGTTACTTTAATTAAATGTTTACTTATCAAAACAAAATTACAAATGTCTGTGATTCAGTTTTAATTAGTCAGAAGTATATTGGTGATATCTTAAATTAAAATTCAGAATAATCACGAATAATCAATGAAATTGCTATTAGTCAAAATAACTAAAGACTTCTTTAATGGTAATACTGGATAGTTAAACCTACTGATTAAATTTTAATCAGCTTGCCATACCCTCATTCTTTAGCATATATCTTTTTCCAAGTTTCGGGGATCAAATGTCCGGTTTAATAATTTCACCATCATGTAGCTAGTAACGATGAAAAAAAAATGATAGTAAGAGTGATGCTACAAGATATTTTTTTCAAGGGTTGTTTTAGAAATTAGGTTTTGCAAAGCACCTCCAATCACGATATATGATGGGTCACAGAATATGTAGCAACACAAGACATTTAATCACCCGGAAAAAAGGACAAGTAATGATATTTAAGGGGAAATTTTATTTTGAAGTAAATTTTGCATTGTAAAAGTAGCACTTAAGAGTTATTGTAACACCAGTCCAAGTGCATTTGGTTCCACTCTGAATTTGTGTTAACTCTCTACAAAGTGTACATCTTACTCCAGTTGTTGTTGTAATAGCTCTAAAAGAGTCAATGTAGTACCACAGGTCAATCATCCCTGCTGCCCCCAGACTCTAAAATGTGACACTACAACAGCAATAACTTGTTCACTGTAAATGTGCAATTACTATTTAATACTCTGTGCAATAACCTGTCTCTTTATATTTGACACCCAGGGCAATAACTATATATAGAAATATCCATCTTTATAAAAACCCATGTAAAAACCCTGCACAATAACCCTGTCTTACAATCCTGCAAAAAAAGCACCTTTTTCTGCCTTTGGCACCTTCTTCTTCTCTTCTTGACTATTCGAGCTGATTTAAAGACTATATTTCTTCACTGTGGGATTAATAAAGTCAATCAATCAATGTACTTTGACATATTTAAAGTCGTAGGGAAGCAGCCGTTCCAGCCGTTTCATTTCTGAATTCTCCTGAGTGGTGCACGACTTTAGATGAGTGAATAAAGTGAATGTGATTGGTCGATTATCAAGAGGGCGGGATTGTTGTGGCGGACTGTTTGGTTGTGGCTGGTTTCTCTGAAGCATCTTGCTAACCAGTTAGCAACTTAGTGCTACTAGGATCCCAATGGGAAATTCCATTGGGACCAAGTAGCACTAAATTGGTGACTTAGAAACGACACTGTCAAGGAACGCTATGGACAGAGGAAACATGCAAGAGGAGGAGAGTTTAGTGTCGGAGGTCGTAGATGAGTCTCCTCTGTCAGACATTTTTTATTTGGAGGAGGAAAGCNTTATTGTAACACCAGTCCAAGTGCATTTGGTTCCACTCTGAATTTGTGTTAACTCTCTACAAAGTGTACATCTTACTCCAGTTGTTGTTGTAATAACTCTAAAAGAGTCAATGTAGTACCACAGGTCAATCATCCCTGCTGCCCCCAGACTCTACAATGTGACACTACAACAGCAATAACTTGTGTGCTAATACTCTGTGCAATAACCTGTCTCTTTATATTTGACACCCAGAGCAATAACTATATATAGAAATATCCATCTATATAAAAACCTATGTAAAAACCCTGTGCAATAACCCTGTCTTACAATCCTGAAAAAAAAGCACCTTTTTCTTCCTTTTGCACCTTCTTCTTCTCTTCTTGACTATTCGAGCTGATTTAACAACTATATTTCTCCACTGTGGGATCAATAAAGTCAATCAATTAATGTACTTCGACGCTGCATATTTAAAGTCGTAGGGAAGTGGCTGTTCCAGCCGTTGCATTTCCGAATTCGGAAAAGAACGCCAGGGCGGCAGAAGCTTGGTTTGGTGTAGAAGGCTTCCAGCCGTACATGTTTGAGCCCTTGCCTCACAACGCTGCCAGTTCTGTTAGCTCTACGCCTGCTGAAGACACAGACGTCTATCCCCGTGAACACTGGGACGGAACTCAATGGGAAAGGAAATTATTCTTATTTCTTATTTCAACCATTTCGCACATTAGCTGCAACATATGAATCAAGATGCTATGACAGAAAAAATTTGATTGCCAAACGACCATTGATATATGATTGGCTGAATTTAGGTGTTCAGGCTGACGTATAACTAACTGGCCTGCATAAGATAACGAAAAAAACACAGATTTAAAAAAATTTTATTTTTATAAATTTTCTGCATTTTGGGACAATTTCATCTGATAAAGAGTACATTTATAGACATGTTTAAGGCAGAATGATTTGACGTTTAAATGACTTCCCTACAACTTTAACACTGTGGAGAGTGCTACAACGTGAGCGCTATGACATGGGAGGTCACCAGGCTGTTAGAGTACAAGTCTCAAATATAATTACCAGTGATATTGTAAAGATCAATGAAAAAAGATTTTTTTGAGAGTTTAAAACTATTCTACAGAAAGCAGAATGTTGCTTGGATTGGCAAATTTAATAATCGTCTCCAAACTGCTGCTTATAATTACTAAGGATATCATTGTTTCAATTTAAATTCATTAACTGGGATAAAATCTGTTTTTTAAAAATGCAAACAAACCTGCAGCACCTGGATTTGAATCTCTAGATTAATTTAAACATCTGGCTGTAACGGCTACAGTACCTGTGGTTGGTGGAACTACTGTCGTCATAGGGACTCCGCTGCTGTTGCTAAGAGGAAAAAAACAACAACACATAGCTGATGTCATGGCAACCAAAAAACAAGATTTCAAAAACAATAAATGATTCAACTTTGAGAAAATTATCAACAGTTAATAACCAGTTTTTCCCTCTAAATGTGTTAAAAAACATAAATATTTTGAGTTCACCTGTTGTTAGGGAAGAGGTCAACGTCCGCCTTCTTTAAATTTACAAGGTAGAGAGCTGAGACGGAGATAATGCTACATCCAAACAGGCGTAAAAAGAAAAGGTCAGCATGTCAATACCCTTTTATTATTTAGATTTTAAACAGACTGGCAAAACTTTTCTTTTTTACCAAATAGCCATGGTGACCAGGAAGGTAAAGATGCTGGCCAGGAAGATTTTATTATGGAGGAGGTGGAGGAGTTTGTGACACCAGTCCTTGTTTGGAGTCTTTGCAGTCCTGCACGGCTCTGGTGACGGAGCTGTTGATGCGCCGCTGTGAAACTGAGCTTTACTGCTGCAGAACACAAACAAAAAGTCAGATGTTAAAACTGTTTAGATTAACCCTTTATATGGCACTCAGTGAAATACTTTAAAAATCAAAATTTCAAGCCAATAGTGTTATTGGATATATAAGCCCTTTTTTTCTTTTGTAACATTTAAAAAATATGGATATTTTGATGGCAAAAATTTATTCCAATGTAATAACAAGAAGCCAACTTGCCCGAACATATTAAGAAAAATAACAAAAGCACTTTTATTTTAGTTTCTAAACCAAAATATAATTGTTAACTAGGCTTATTAACTTTTTTAACATTACTTTTTAACTTTTCAATAAACTTTTTACCTTTTTTTATTGACTTTACTTTGTGCACTGATCATTTTTAGATAACTGTTGTTATGAAATCAATACACCAACGTTTAAATCTTATTTTATCTAAAAAAAAAATAAGTTAAATATAAAAACGAAGTTCTGAAATATGTAGATGCAAAGTAGCAGCTGCTGATTTTCAGACCTTTGCAGAGGTAGATTTTCACATCTAAGTATCAGGCCGATCACCACTCAACAAAAGGAAGGAAATTGGGTCCAATCGGTGCATCCCTATTTTTCCCAGATTCATTTCCCATTTGGTTGGAAACTTTGTCCTTTAATAATCCATTTTACACAAATATCATATCTAAGTTAGGCTAATTGTTCATAAATGTTTACTGAAAACAGCTGTTGATCAGAAAGGGGTTAATGTTAATTGATAATGTTTGTGAATTAGCTTCTAAGGTCGATTTTCAGCGGATGTTTGCGGTAAATGAGGCTGAATACATAATTCATGCCACACCTTTCAATAAAACCTGTCGATTCAGGAATGTTGGATCATTGAAATATTTTTTTCCTTTCTGTGGGTGTGTCTGGTTAGTCAGTATTCAGATAATTGGGCCGTCTGCTGGTGCTCAGCTATAGATGAAGTTATCTACTGATATGCAGCCGTTGGTTGGGTCCACAAACATATAGATTATGGTATGTTAAGGATGAAAAAGACCTCTAAATTATCAGTATAAGTAGAAAGGTCAGAGCAGTTGTCCTTGACCCACAACATAATACATGTGACTAAAGAGCGTTCAGTGTCTACAGCAGCCTGACGATGCACAGCAGTGCATCTCACCTGCTAGTCCAGTCAGGAGTGAAAGAAAGTGAGGCAAAGCCAGTCCTGATAGGGTTCATTCATGTTGGGTGAACCTTTTGATTCTCTCCTGCAGGAACGTTTAGAAAACCATCTGTCCTTGGACTGTGACTTCCCTCAGTTCTTTGTTGCCTCAGTTATGCAACTGAGCCATTTTTATCAGTTTTTCCAAGGTGCTGCATGGTTACAAGTAATCAATTTCTGAAGTTGGAACAATAATGAAGGGGATGAGGTCTTCCAAAGCAGAGAACAAATTAAAGAACTCAAATAATGACTTTAAAGGACAGGCTTTCATTTAAATTTCATTGCAAGATCATTTTAAATAGTTGACAATTTAAGGCACAACTAGGATATTTTAACATTTTTTTTTTTAGGAAATGTGTGGTTTTCTTCTATTTTGGCTTATGTTTAAACAGATTATCCTGTTGTCCTATTATTTGTTCTTCAGTGGCTGGTCAAGCTCAGATGATGAGCTTAAACTGAAATCTTCGACCATTATTGCAATTTGTCACCTAAAGTAAATTCAGAAAAAAAAAAAAAAAAAGAAGCAACATATTGTACAGGAGAAAGCTGCCAAAAGGGAAAACAATTTGATTCACCTTAAAAAAACACAAAACATTTTAGTCCTTCAAATCGTTTCAAAATGGACCCTTTCTCTTCCTTTCACCAACTGTTTCCTGGTTTCTTGCCAGAGTTTTTCAAATCAAACCAAACTCATCTCTTATTTCACGGTAGTGAGTTTAAAGGTCGTGTCTTTATTACCCCAACATTTGTTATGTTCTAAAAGCTTTTATCTGAATATCTGTCTATAGCTTGCAGAAACATCTTATTTTAATAATTGATGGTTTTTGCCTCTCTGTAGTCTTAAGGAAGTATTTTTATTCTAATCCATCTATAATTTACTCTCCTAATGAGGTGCAACTAGCAGATAACCTAAGGTGCATTCACACCGAACGCGTTCTGACATCAAAACATTTGATTCACAGCAGGTCCTGTGGTGCAGCAGAGCATCCTAGCATCCAAGCATCAGAGCTTCCCAACATTAAAGCTGGAGTTCAGCAATGTGAACTTTTGCAGACTGACGCACATCATTTAGAAAAGTTGATCCAGCAGTTTGTTAGAAGACAGACACGACATGCAAGCTGTTATCGCTTCTGCAACCACATCAGGACCTTTTCTTTACGTTCATATGATTTTGTAGTAGGTTAATGAAACATTCTTTAGAGTTTTCTTGAAAATAAACCATTAGCAACTAGTGTTGCACCGATACCCGTGTCAGGCGTGGCCCCAATATTGCTCTAAAATGGTGATATCGGTATCAGTGAGTACCAATAAATAGGGTACTGATGCAATTCTTAAGCCATTTTTGCCATTCTTAGGTAGGAAATAAAAAGTTCTACTGGATTCACTTTGTATTGGTCTTTTTCCTGCTTCACATAGATAGGCAGCAGCTTGACAAAGCCATGATGGCAATTATTTTACATCCAAGTAGTATGCAGTTCTTCATATATACACACACATAAATTTCAAACAGATGGTATCGGTATCGGCCGATAGTGCACGGCGAGGTATCGGGTAACGGAGCCAAAAAATGGCATCGGCGCAGCCCTATTAGTTACTTTTTTCAGGAAAGACTCCTCTCCATGTCCATCCTGATATCCAGCCAGCAGTGAGTATCCACCAAAATAAACAGTCACCATGCTGAGAGAGAGCTGTTTGGGTCTAGGTTCTCCCTCAGTCAGGTCCAGACTATTGGGTCAGATACATTTAAAATCCTTTTTAACTCAAATTAATTTTCAATATATATATATATATATTTCTAATTGTTTTAATTTGAATTAAACAGTAAAATTTTATTTTTTTTTCAAATTCAATTTTTTTTTTTATTCTATAGATTTTACATTTCAAATTTATTTTATAATTTTCTGTTTTTCAGATTGAGTTTTATGATCTGCATTCTTTTTAATGTGCGTTACACATATCAGACTCTCTTCCCTTCCATTATAAATACCCACTATTTTTATATATCTATATTCACATTGACCAATAAAAGTTTTGCTAGCGTCCATTTAGGCCAATAGAAATGCTCATTTTCTATTCACTCCAGTGGAAGGCCCTCCAACAGAAGTGAATAGGTTATCTGTAAATCGCAATTTAGTAAGAATGAAATTGGTAAAAAAATTAAACTGAAAAACAAACAAAAAAATAAAACATGTAAAAAAAAAAAGAAAAAAATGTAAAAATTTAATTTAGATAAATAGTAATCTGAAAAACAAAGTCCTTAAACGTTACCCTTTAAGGACTGAGGTATGTTACTCTATGCAATGAATTTTGCTCCATTATCTTTGCAAACAACAAGAAAATGCAATCCAAAACCATTAACATAAATTAATCTTACAAAACTAAATTAAATCCCACCACTGAAACCACCCTCATGTCCTTTTCTTTTCCAAACTCCAGAAGTTGAGATAATAGAAATAAAGATGAGTACCTAGTAGAGCGCAGGCTGCCTGTTAAGCTCTTTAACTTTGCCAGTCTGCGGTTCCAAACTTCCAGCTCTTGGATTCGAGTCTCCAGGTTGTCTGTAAGCTTCGTCAGCTGCTGCACAGCTCCAACGTTCTCCATGAAGATCTGCTCCTGCAGGGGGAGGAGAGAAAGGTTTTGATATTTATGCTGGGGCTACATCAAATAATAACCTGTGAAATGTTAGATTGTTAAGTGGAGCATTGAGGGAAAAGGAAGAAAAATCAAAATGACGTTTTTTGGAGATACAGCAGGGTGGAGATGAAACAAGCCATTCATGCCCTAAAAATAAAGATAAGGCCAAAATTATTCTTCTCTTCCGGCCATCCATGTGTTTTCCCTGTGGCCCATTTTTCCTAAACCTCACTTTGTCCGTCAAAATGTATATTGAATATCTTTTTATTATCATTGGTTGGTAAAAGTTTCCTATTTAAAAAGTAAAATGTATTTTGAACCTTGTCCACCATGAGAAAATTCTCTATTCTTTCCCCATCTGAGCACATGACGTCGCCGACCTCCACAACCGCTGATGGAAGCAGCTCCTTTATCTCCTGAGCGATTACACCTGAAATATTACAAGATATTAATAAAACATGAAACCTTCAAGACTTCAGAAACCATAAGGAAACAGCTGCAGCTGGAATACCTGTCTGATGGGTGTGATCTATTCCCATGTTGGAGGCAAACTCTGGCTTGTAATCAAATTCAACTATCCTCATCTGATTGATTCTTTTAAGCAGCTGCTCGGAGTCAACCTTGTGAGAAAAGTAAAAACGTTTCACAGTTTAAAAATATTCAGCTGATAGAAATTTTATTCAGATCATCAATTGAAATGCTTCAATACAAGTTTATTTTCTACCTCCTGTATGTTTTGCTTGGCTCGGCAGTCGGACGGTTGCATGATGGAGCCCATCACCTTAGCATTGCCGCAAACTACCAGTGCTTCATCAGGGGAGTCGGTGTTGATACCGACTCGACCGTGACAGACCGCAGCCTCTGGCGTTGACCCACGCTGCCACAAGCTGTCACTGTCTGTCTCAAACTGGCCTGGATTGGACGCCTTAAGATGGACGACGCCAACAGTTCAGTTAAATTCAACAACAAGTGTGATTGGTTTTTCTAAACGTTGGTTTAAAGACATTGGTTTTACCCGAACAATAATCCTCTCTGACACCAGCGCAGCGAGAAGAAAAGTCTCGTCTTTGACAGCGGCATAAAGGCCGACCACCATCTGAAAATACCTGCGCACAGATGTACAGTTAGCAGCATTTCCACCTTTGTTTATCGTTTCCTGTGTGAACTCACTGTCATACCTCTGGTCAGGGTTAGGTTTGCCTTTCTTCCTCATGTTGTTGGCGGTCGTCTCACTGAAGTGTAGTCTTCCAAGAGTTACTTTGGTTATTTTGTTACCAGCCAAACTGACCCTGGATGACGACAGATCATTGCTTACTTAATTTATGTTATTCTTAAGTTTTCTGCGTTTAATCAAACTGAAATTGTATTAAAAAAAATTAAAATAGCTAAAGATATTTAAATAATTTTTAAAAAATGAAGACAGCAGCTATTCTTAAATTGGGCTACTACTAGCTGAGTCATCAAAAGCGGGACAGATGGACCCAGTATTCAAGGTGAGACAGTCAGTAGGAAAGTTCAAAAGTTTATTTAAACAAAACAGAACTAAAACAGAACAGAAACAAGCTACTGTGGATCTGTGGACCTGCAGCGACTGCGGGGAAAGGGGGGCAGGGCACTGCCCAATCACTGACACTCTCTGGAGGGAGAAACACAGGTAAGTGACCACAATCATCTGACAGGAGATTATTGTCAGAGTGAGTCACTTTCCTGGTTTGACAGGAACTCAATTTAGGCAGGATTAGATGCACTGCCAACAACATGTGGCCCTGAGCCGTCCAGAGTGTCCCCAATGCTGCAGTCCCAGAGAACATGCTGGAAGCCACTCAAGGTCAGGGGAAAACAGAACAGACGGGAACAGTTCAGGAATCCAAGAATCCTCAGCTGATCAATGGTTCCGACCCAAACAGGAACAGAGGGATCCAGGCTTCCAGGACCTAAATCCTGCCTCTGTGCTCCAAGCCACCCAACTGTTGGCCACCCAACAACAGTTTAAAGGAGCAGTCTCCTCCATTCAAGCTGCTGATCTTGCTGAAGGGAGGACTCTTATCAAGTTAGTGGTTTTGTTGGTTTCATGCATTTCATTATTTAAATTCCTTCAACCCACTAACCTCCCTTCTTAATATTTCCTGGCCCTCGGTGGATGTGCTCCTGAAGTCTTGAGTTTTGAATAAACTGTTTAAGTCCTTATCCTGTGTTCTGGCTGAAAATGTGGGTCTTCTGTCTGGATCATTACAGTCTCCTACTAGGAGCCAGGCTTACGGGAATGAAACTGACCCTCTCTGAGCCAAAACCCTGAGTGCTGCACGGAGAAGGATCAGGAAACGATCAGAAGACAGAACAAACACTAAAACCCTCTCTATTCACTGTCCGCCGGGAACCAGCACACAAACCTTGGACAAAAACTAAAAACGACCAAACAGCACACAAGATACAAAACAATGGTCTGGCCCTGATCGCTCGGGCCCTGATCGCTCAGGCCCTGATCGCTCAGGCCCTGATCGCTCGGGCTGGACCGAATATAAAGCTCAATGCAGGTGGAACATTATAAACTGGGCAGAACTAGGCAGGTTAGTGAAATTAACGATTAGGGTGAAGCTATCAGGCCAAATCAAGATATTAGTTAGTTTTTAAGCATTTTAAGCACAATTTCCTTTAATTGGTGACCAATAAATCTATTGATGGTATATATAGAAATAACTAAATTGGATAAGGCAACTGGATTAGGGTTAGGGTTAGACTTTTGGACAGCCAGTCCAAAAGTCTAACCCTGGATAAAAGACTAAAGAGCCTTGGTCAGAAAGCAAATTACAGTTCTAATCATTCAATTAATAATCATTAATTGGTTTTCCCCCAGATTTGAATTGTCTATTAATTAACTATAAGTTGCAGTTCTAGTTATTTAATATATACCGATACCACCATTTTAGCGCAGTATCAGGGGCTTGCCCGATACTGGTATCGGTGCAACACTATTAAAAATAGAAGCCAACATGCTTATGTTTGGCCATCTAAGCAAGGTTACCCAAGTGTCAGCCTTCAAGATGCTAAAAGAAGTCTAAAAATAAACCTGAAAATGTCACCATGGGAGCTATGGTTCTTGGTACCATTGATCTCAGAGTTGTGCTTTTCAATCAGAAAGAGAATGAACAAGTTTAACGTTCACTGGAGATTGGCTTTGTTCTGTCTCTCTCTCTCTCTCTCTCAGAGAGAGAGAGAGAGAGAGAGAGAGAGAGAGAGAGAGAGAGAGGGAGGAAAAAACACCAAATACAATGTGAGGTCATAAATCTGAAGCGGAACTAGAACCAGAAACCTGACAGCGACCAGACACATAAGCCGGAATCTATTAAGGAGTTGGTGAGAACTCAGAAATGGACTGAAAACCAACCCAACCTATAGGCCACCATTAGGGGAGGGGTACCCAACCTATTTCTTCACATGGAATCAAGTAAAGGAAGGTTCATTCTGGTGTATCTGTAACTTACAGTAGTAGCCATTCAAAATAGCCCTTCCAAGTCAAACACCAGCCGAACGGCAGCCCACTTCCCTCCAATTCCCAGTTAAATCCCCTCCAACTTGCAGCCACTGAAGTGACCCTCTCTTGCATATTTTTTTTACTCCATTCTTTCACTGAATTACAGGGTCTGACCAGGAGATGATGCTTCCCTTTAAATCTTAATGTCCACAAAACGTGACAGTAAGAATATTTTAGAACAAATATTGATGTTTTAAAAAGTAATTCTAGGGGACCAGCCAAGGGCCCATCAAAGAAAGTGGGGAAATTTTTAATTGCTACTACTGTAAACACTTTCACTTCAATGGATAAACAGAAACAGATTACACATTCATTAATTATTGACTAACAAAATGACTATAGTTTTTCGAAAAGGAAATAATCTTCAGAAGCAATACAGCTGATTTATGTGGTTAATTCTAATCTAAGGTAGATTTTATCCATACCTGACTGGGTGGAAGGGCTTCTTGCTGCGGTCCGGTTGAGACTGCTCTATTGTCACCTCATGGCTCGGTGTTTCAAGCTAAAAGACAGTTCAGTTAGGCTCAGAGCATTAAAACCAGGGATCATCATTTCAAAAGCTGGGGAATTCTTATTGCCACCAACCTTAATGCCGAACACTTTTATCTGAAAGTAGCCAATAGTCTGTAGTCCGCTGGGCGTTTGGACATAATGTGGCTCTGCAGACACACCGATGTGAACTGTGACCTGGAAGTGGTTCTTTTTCTGGCACACAAACGCCTCATCAACTGAAGAGTAGTTAAAGCCTTTATCTGTATCAACATGGTAGGTAGGAGGCGCCCTGAAACAGACAAAGTAAAGTAGTTTATGTCACAGGAACTAATTTCCCACATCATGTCCTTAATTCATGATGATTAAGTCCAATAGTTCAGAGCAATATGGACTTACAATGTTTGGTAGCTGCTGCTGCATAAAGTGCTCCAATGTTCTTGCTGATAGTGTTCCCACCTAAGCAACTGGGAGGAACCCAGACCGGCTCCAATCCCTGCCCCAGTGTTACGAGTCCCATCACCTTCACAACAGGCAGCATCAGCTGCTGCAAATGTATCCTCGGAGTCTGACCTCCTCCTCTTTTTACTGTCCTGGGAACTGAAAAATAAAATTCAATATAGAAATATCATCCACACAGATCTGCCCTCTGACAGACACAGCGTCCTCTTATGCCACAAATGCCGAAGATGTTCCAGTGTGTAGAGTTGATTTTAATTTCTTATTCATTCATACCTACCTTTACATTTAAAATCAACTAACATTACATTACAGTGCTGTGTGGGAAAATTCAAAGCAAATCTAACAATAAAAACAATGTGAAGGATAAATAGATAAGTGATACTGCCACCTATGGGTTTGTGATGACACAGTGCAGTATCGGCTGTTGATCAAGTCCCAGTGCTGTATCTGGTGTTTGACACAACGCGCTATTATCCAAGTCATCTTGAAAACATTCTTCTTCCAAATGTTGGCTACAGATTACATGTTTTTTCTCTGACCAGAAGTTGAATGGCAAATCAAATCCTCCCTCTTCAAGTTGGCAAGCCAATGACAAACCCGTCCATGGCGGATCATGAATCGGAAAGGTGAAATAACTGTTTTTTTTCACATGCATGTGGGCATTGTCAGTTTAACTATAGTTTTGGTGAATTTCAATGGTGAAGTCCTCTGGTAATCTTCAATAATTGTTGTTGATTGCAGATGTGTCTAGTAGTTCCCATTGGTTCTCCTTGTAAAGCAGGGAGAATGGTGCTAGGCTTACCGCACCGTGACGTCACTGCTGGAAGATGTCAGGAGGGAGGCGTTACTATATTTGGGCAAAAATGGCCGCTCCCAGACTGAGTGATCACAAAGAAAATTGTTACTTTTATTTTTTTACTGGGACTGCTCAATGGCGCAGTGGGTAGCACTGCTGCCTTCGATTCCATTCCCCGCCTGAGGTCTTTCTGCATGGAGTTTGCATGTTCTCCCTGAGCATGCGTGGGTTCTCTCCGGGTACTCCGGCTTCCTCCCACAGTCCAAAAACATGACTGTTAGGTTAATTGGCTTCTCTAAATTCTCCTTAGGTGTGAGTGTGTGCGTGAATGGTTGTTTGTCCTGTTTGTCTCTGTGTTGCCCTGCGATGGACTGGCGACCCGTCCAGGGTGTACCCCTCCTCTCGCCCATTGACAGCTGGAGATAGGCACCTGCACCCCTCATGACCCCACTTGGGATTAAGCGTGTTAAAAATGGATGGATGTATGGATTTTTTTACTGATTAACACAAAATTCATTAAATCCCTGCAAACATATTAGTTTTAGGTATAGATAATGACCAAATGGTTATTCCTTGCTGACGGGATATTTCCTTTAAGGTATTGGTAAAATTCCAATACTCACCATATGGGTCCTTAGTTGCAGTAAGGAGTTCAAAAGATAAACCACACTCTGAACAGCATTTCCCCAGATGGAGCCAAAGATTAAACCTCTAATACATACAAATGTTCCCCTTCTATCCACTACCCCTTTAGGCTTCTGCCATCATGCTAATATAACAAAAGATGTGTAATTTATGAGGTAATGGTGAGTTTTTATGCATCACAAACCATATTAAGTTCATAGCATTGACAACATATTTAGACAAACATATTCAACGGGTAGAGGATCCCTTTAAAGTTGTAAGGAAACGGCTGTTCCAACCGTTGCATTTTCGAATTCTCCCGAGTGGTGCACGACTTTACACAAGTGAATAAAGCGAATGTGATTGGTCGTTTATCTTTTGTTGGGGGATTGTTGTGGCAGAAGGTTCACAAGCAAGTTTGATTGTGGCCGGTGTCTCGGAAGCATCTTGCTAACCAGTTAGCAACTCAGTGCTAGTAGGTTCCCAATGGGAAATTCCATTGGGACCAAATTGGTGACTTAGACTCGACACTGTCAAGGAGCGCTATGGACAGCGGAAACATGCAAGAGGAGGAGAGTTTAGTGTCGGAGTCTCCTTCATCATCCATTTTTTATTTAGAGAAAGAAAGTCGAGGATGAAGATCTTGTGGAAGAGGACGCCAGGGCGGCAGAAGCTTCGTTTGGTGTAGAATGCTTACAGTCGTACATGTTTGAGCCCTTGCCTCACATAGGCAAATATATTTATATATACACACATGTTTAAGCCAGAATAATTTGACATTTAAATATGACTTTCCTACGACTTTAAAAGCTCCCACAGAGGTGTGGTACACAGACTGTATGTACAGGACTCCCAACACAACAATGACCAAAAAAACACCAAAAGTTTCCTCACCAGGTGTGTGATGTGGAGAGTGAGCCAAGCGCACAGGGTGAAGATGACACTTGGAGATTTTGGACCATAGCTGCATCAGTCATGGGGGAAATGTAGGTACTGGAAGGAGTTAAGGATGGAGAAGAGGGAGTGGTCGGCGTGTAACCTTGCAAAACGTTTCCTGAATTTAAGTAGCGTTCAGGTGGGTGGTTGGTGTCCTGATAAACAGGTAGTACGTGTGGGTCAGGAGAAGTTCTGGATTTGATGTCAATGTCTGTGAGACCAGAACCACAGAGCTGGTTGTAGGTCATAAAGTTACAGTGGGATGGTGCAGAGCCTCCATCTTTTAATCGACAGTAAGGGGGCCGGATGATTTGGTCAGAGTTGGGATGAGCGGAGCGGCGATCCTTAAAGTGACAGGTGGGGAGGGTTGCCGGTGGAAACGCCTCTGGACTGACGGTCAAGCAGGGCTGTTCATACCCAACGTCTGTTTGTAGGGAAAAAAACAACATTAGAGTGAAACAAACAAACAAATAAATAACATTTCCTGTGTTTCCGTACATTAACTGGAACAAAAAAACGGTTATATTTATCATGCATTAATCTACCTGGTATCTGTGCAGGAGAATAAGCCTCTGAGCTTGAATCAGGAGGAGATTCAGGAAGCATACTGAAACAGAGAGCAAAAACAACCTATTGTCAGTGATCAAGCTTTTTGGCTGAGCGTTCGCCCTAAATAGAGCCGTATCTTATTGACAATCTTTGCTTATCTGATAACCAAAGTTAGTGTTACATTTATGGATTTTATATAACAGAGCAGATGATCAGATATGACAGCAGTGAGTTTCCCATAATAAAAGAAATTCTCAGAGAGCTGCAATTAAAAGAGTCTGGTTCTTTCCAGTAAATTTAAACCAAAACCATGCTATATTTTCTTTAGCATTTAGCATTCATAAACAGGTTTCTGGGTGTCCTGAAAACTTTTAGTATCATCAGTCATTTTTGTTAACCAAACATCTTGATCTTAAAACCACTTTCTATTCTATGTATTCAATTTCTTTAACTTGTTTCCAGTCAAAACTTGATGTGTTTCATTGGTTCCTGAATCATCACTAGAAGGCATCTCACTGAGCATTTTATTAAGTGATGTCATCGCAGTCTTTGAAACTTACAAGTTGCTTGGGTCCATGTCGTTACTGAGGTACTGCTCCAGGATGCTGGTATCTACGGCAACCGAGCTGTCCAACACACTACTGACGTCCTGACCTAATATATGGAAAGAATGGGTTGGTTTCAGAGAGAATACGGTGAATGAGAAATACATAAATTTACACTTAAAAAGAGACTAAAATATCACCCTATCAAACTTCCTCCAAACTTCAGTGGCAACCATCTACCAAAACAAACCTTTCAGGAGCCCCAGAGAGCTTATGCTGAACAGTTTGTCTACAAACAAAACTCCCCATCATCATTTAATGATTTATCCTTCTCTAGTATGCTACAGTTATTCAGATAGACACCTGGAACATGACCAGAAATTGACACCAATTCAAAAACCTTCCCTACTTCATCTAACATCATGGATGATCAGTGGTATGCTCTGATATAAAACCATCTGAAAGACTAACTGGACTCCAGAACAGTGGTATTCCAGTGTAACAACTGTGGTCGAAAAATCTATTATCAGATATCTTCCAAAAAAAGAAAGTTAAAAACAATCCACTGGACTTTGTTTCCAAGTTTGAAGACGTTTGGCTTCCCATCCAGGAAGCTTTTTCAATTAAAAATGTCAGGAATAGCGTTGAGTTTGAGGTTTTATACAGTAGCCAAAAAAGCCTTGTTTTTGTTTTGGAAACATGCAAATAGAAAAGGATGAAGGGGTCCATCCCTATGAAATGGGGGTCATTTGGCTTCTTTTGTTAGCCTGCAAAGCCCCCTACCCATCTAAGTGTCTGAAAGGGGGATCATTAAAGGGGATTGTTTGCCTGGCTGAATAGGTGAGGTCCTCCGGCCAGCTACTTTAGTTTTTTTGCAGGACTATGTTCCCCAAGGACTGGACTTAAGTGCCACTGCTCCAGAACCTGCTTAAGGATTTCAAAACAGAGGTGTCCAAGTCCAGTTCTTCAGGTTTGCAATCCTGTGACCTTCAATAGCCCTTGTCCAGAACACCTGAGTCAAATGATTGGCCTCTGGGCAGGTGAATGACCGAACGCTGATGAGGAAAAATCAACCATCTGATTCAGGTGTTTCGGAGGATTGGGTTTATTTCCAGAACTAGAAAATGTAAAGCCATTTTCCACACACCCCTTGACATTACATCAACTTTAAAATGATCAATACAACCTTCCTGGAGATTCTGTAAACCCCCAAAGAACTCGCAAGGTAAGATCACTTATACCCATTGAAGAACCAGACGTAAGGCGTCACCTGCTATTCTTTTAAACCTCTTTTAAATCATCTATTGGTCCGAGGATTGAAACCTTGCTACTTGTCTTGAATGTTTCTTTTCCAACCTGACTTGCATTAAATGATCATTAGCAGGTTCTTGCAGTACTTGATCAAGATGAGATTTGTTGTAAAATGGTTGCATCTAAAACATGATGGTCCTTTGAGAAAGTCATTGCCAACCTCAGTTGCAAATGCTTAAAACTATAACTTAAGGTTTGCACCACTTCTTTGTGACTATAGTCAGTTCTTTTCAGAGATCTGAACCACATACAGTGCATTTGGTTTTATTACATATGACAAGAATCTCAAGAGCAACTAAAAAATTACTGATTGAAGTTCGTAAAACACAGTCCTGAGTAGCTCAGAGGCAGAAATACCCCCAAAAAACTAAATACTGGAACCTAAAAGAGCCCTTAGACATCCACTCCAATCTCCCAGTGGCCCCAGGGATTATTCAAGAGATCCTGAAAACCTTACGTTGTAATATAAAGTAAAACCTCCCAATGGTCATGAGACACGTCCTCTCCAAGACAACTACATCTACTAGAACCTTCTTCTAAGGCTTCTATTTCAGATCTGCCTTTAATACAGCTTTGGTTTATTTGAGGGCAACTAAATCAAAAGTAATCTTCCATTCTAACAACTCATGGCAGCACTGACCTCTCAAAAATACCAGAAAGTTCCACACATAGCCAGAACTTAACACAAGTAGGTTCAAAAGGTCTCAGACTCTCATAAATAAGCATCTAGAAAAGATGATTGTTAATAAAAATCTGCATGGAGAATGTTTAAAACTACATAAAGTCACCTGAAAAACTTAAAGCAGCCTTCAACTTGTTCACCTCTTTAACGGCCACTTAAACAACCTTAGAGTCATGGTATGCCCTCGAAAACCTCATCAACGTTTAATGCATGCTGGAACATCTCACCGCTGAAGAACTGTTGCAGCGCCTCATTCTCTCCAAGCACCTGTAGCGGTGGCCCAATGGGTCCAGGCTCCATGCTGCCATGCACTGGGCGGTGCTGTCCTGGTGTGTGCAGGAGGAAGATTTCCACCTGCAGCTAGAGCTGATGGTGAGATTTAGAATGTCACAATGCATTAGTAAAACTTTAGACAAGGGTAAATCTAAATGTATGGGAGGATAAAGATCTGAGTACTAGTTTGAGACTAGGAGACTTCTTTTACTTTTTCCTTTCAGAGTCCCAGACTCTATGTCCTGATGATCCAACACAATTAGATAAAGATCCAAAGTTCAAGGTTAGAACCTTTTATTAAATATAAGTTGAGCTCATTAAGAGTATATATATGTTTCATCTGTATCTAGATCTAGTCATTTTACAACATCCACCCAATGACAACCTTTTCTCTCTTGTATGGTTCTCTGTTCCATACAGACGTGTAGTGGTTTTTCTACATTATAAGTCTGTAACCTGCAGCTCTTCAGACCTTCCTAAGGCCTAAAATGATTAGAAAAAGCCAACAACTTATTTTAAATATAAATGCAAAAATAATTTTTATATACATTTATTTTTTTCTTACATACATACATACACATTGTCTTATTTTAATTACTACTGTAACTTTATTATTTTCTTTGTTAGGAAACTTTTAAGCACAACCATACTTCTAAATCTGTACTTCTTATCATTTTCATAAACATCACATAGAAGAAAATCTTCCATCTTGTTTTTATGTTTTTTTTTCCACAAATATAAATAAAATGTTTTTGTTTTTTTAAACAGGAATACTATAGTAGATATTGAAAAAACTTATACATCATATTTTTTCTTTGGTGCAAAAGGTGCTGTATGTATTTGCACTGAAAGTAAAACCGGCTCTCTGGATTGTAAAGCCGAATATGACCATTCCACCACTAAACAACCAATGCACAGCTCCTCATCCATATAATTATGTTTTAATTAGAATTATTTTATTTTTAATATTTTTAGCTCGTCTGCATGGCTGTGTGTTTCCTGGATGGGGCCGCCTTTTACAGTTGCTTTTTGTATCTCTGCTTCTGTCTCCTTGAACCCCAGTCAGCCTCAGCAGATGGCTGCTCACACTGAGCTGGAGGTTTCTTCCTTTTAAAAGGGGAGTTTTTCCTCTCCACTGTCGCTACAAGCATGCTTAGTGTGACGGATTGCATTTGAGTCAATGAGTTGATAAAATCGACTGGTTTTCCTGAGATAGAATCAATTTGACTATATGATCTGGTGAACTGTAAAGTGCCGTGAGATGACGTGTTGTGAATTGGCACTATATAAATAACTGAATTGAATTCAAATAACTCATATACTGCGTTTCTTTCCACCTAAAGTGATACAGTGTAAGGAGAAAAATTGAAGGACTTTCTGACGGATCTGTGGAGACTTCGCTTTATTGGTAACCAAGCTGTTATTAAAGGGAAAACTCACCAAAGAGGGAAAACAAACAATGAACTGGATCCCTGGCTTCACATTCAGGATAGGGTGAAGAGATATTTCCTATGAAATGGGAGGATGGTGGGTCAGGAAGCCTTCTTGAGCATCTCCCACTTTCCTCCTCAGGCTTCAGGAGATCTAGGTTCCTACTGCCCACATTTCTATTTTAGCATAATTTATATAACGACTTAGTGTCAATCAAAATTTGAAGAACGAGATCCTAAAACAATATTTTCTTACTGACAGAGAAATTAAACCTTTACAGACCAAAGAGGTTCTCAACCTTGATCATTTTAGAAATGGCATGGGACCTAAAGAGAATGCATGGAGGTTTTATAAGCACATTTTTATTTATTTCTTTTATTTAAGTAAGCATTAACTCTTCACACACTGAGACGAATAATGCAACTGATTATGGCATTTTACTTAATAATATTTAGTTACTTTAACACAATTGTTTTATGTCCTGCCCTACTAACATGAATCAATTGTGCTAAAGTAACTAAATATGATTCAGTAAATGCCAAAAATAGTTGCATTATTTTTTTCCAATAAAAATAAGCAATAAGCTGGATGCATTACTGGGAAATGGTGGTGTTTGAGCAGAAATGATTAAAGACAGAACGCAGCCCAATGAAGATGGACAGTTCTTTCATTATCAAGCTTCACATTACTTAAAATTGTCAAGAAAACAAAAAGGGAGATTAACCAAGACTTATAGAGAGCAAACCCATTGATTGTTGGCTAAATTATTGCGATGCTAGCACGGCTAGCTTGTTTCCAGTTAGCAGTTCCCACTGCAATAGACATAAAACAGAGGAGCTTAAAGTTGTAGGAAAACGGCCGTTCCGAACCGTTGTGTTCTCAAATTCTCCTGAGTGGTGCCCGACTTTACATGAGTGAATAAAGTGAATGTGATTGGTTGTTTATCAAGGGGGCGGGATTGTTGTGGCGGAGGGTTCAAAAGCAAGTTTGATTGTGGCCGGTGTCTCTGAAGCATCTTGCTAACCAGTTAGCAACTTAGTGCTAGGAAATTCCATTGGG